CCCTCCCCAGCTTTCCTGGAGCCTCTTTAGGGACTGGAAGGGGCTCCAAGGTCTCCCTGGAGCCTTCTCTTCTCCAGGCTGAACCCCCCCAACTCTCTCAGCCCCCCCTCCCAGCAGAGGGTCTCCAGCCCTCCCAGCATCTCCGGGGCCTCCTCTGGCCCCATCCAGCAGCTCCGTGTCATAGAATCATAGAGTGGTTTGGGTTGGAAGGGACCTTAAAGATCATCGAGTTCCAACCCCCCTGCCATGGGCAGGGACATCTCCCACTAGAGCAGGTTGCTCCAAGCCCCATCCAGCCTGGCCTTGAACCCCTCCAGGGATGTCCTTCTGATGGTGGTGGCCCCAGAGCTGGAGGCAGCACTGGGGGTCGGGGTGGGGAGGGGTCTCCCCAGAGCATAGCAGAAGGGCAGAATCCCCTTCCTCACCCTGCTGGGGATGCAGCCCAGGGTGCAGGGGGGTTTCTGGGCTGCCAACACACGTTGCCCTGGCACGAAGGTGGGAGAAACCCACCCGAATTACCAGCAGAGGCACACCAGATGTTCTGAGCAGGCTCCTCACCTTCCTGACCCCATCCCCTGGCTCTGATGGCTCAGGGACGTGTTACACACGAGCTCTCTGCCTGCACGGGGACGTTCCCTGAAAGGAGGGTGTAGAGAGGTGGGGGTCGGTCTCTTTTCTCAAGTCACAGGCGACAGGACAAGAGGAAATGGCCTCAAGTTGCCCCAGGGGAGGTTCAGGCTGGATATTAGGAAACATTTTTTCACTGAAAGGGTTCTCAGCCCTTGGAATGGGCTGCCCAGAGAGGTGGTGGAGGCCCCATCCCTGGAGGTGTTCAAAAGCCGGGTTGATGTAGTGCTGGGAGGTCTGGTTTAGTGATGATGCTCCTTGTTTGTTGTGTGGGTGTCTATTTTTGTCAGTTAGGTTGGCAGTTGGACAAGATGATCTTTAAGGTCCCTTCCACCCTAGAAGATTCTGTGATTCTGTGTGCCCACCACCATCGGGGCATGTGGGCTCACAGCTCAGCCCGGGGAACAGCCCCCGTGCCCAGGGAACCACCAGCAGCTCTTTTTTTTGGTCCCACGAGCTGACGGCAGGACCAGCGCTGCTGCCAACACGCTGCAACCAAAATTTATTTATTTGAAAGAAATAAAGGCAGAGGCAGAGAGAGCTGCCAAGGAGGGGCTGCTGAGCTCCTCTCCGTATCGCCAGAGAGAACTGATCGCTGCCAGAGAGAGGGGAACCCCAGGACCTCCAGAAGTCCCTTTTGTAGGGAATCTTGCAGCCAAACAACCACTGGAAGCTTCTTTTCCAGGTCTCTGAAATAAGGGGATGGGGTCGGTGAAGTGTCCAAAGGGGCCAATAAAGAGCCACGATGGAGGAGGAGCCTTGGCAAGATGCTGTGTAAGCATCAGAGCAGCCCCTCAGGCATGGACCCTTCCCAGAGACCTGCTCCCAGCCCTCACCACCTTCCCAGCCCTGGGATAAGGGCACCCACCTCCCTGAAGGTCTCCACTTTGCAAAGCGACCACCTTCCTGGGGCAACACAGCCCAGAGAGCCTCGGGGACCCTTCCCCATTCAGTACTGGGGACTGTGAGGGTTGGACTGGGGATCAACTGGGTGAGACGCATCCTTGAGGAGCAATGGGCAGAGAGGTCCAGGGCGACCAGAGACCCTGGCAAAGCCCTTGGGACCCATCCCCATTTAGTACTGGGGATCAACTGGGTGAGATGCATCCTTGAGGAGCAATGGATGGAGAGGTCCATGAAGCCCAGAGACCCTGGCAAAGCCCTGGGGACCCTTCCCCATTTAGTACTGGGGACTGTGAGGGTTGGACTGGGGATCAACTGGGTGAGATGCATCCTTGAGGAGCAATGGACAGAGAGGTCCAGGAGCCCAGAATGCTTGGCAAAGCCCTGGGGACCCTTTCCCATTTAGTACTGGGGATCAACTGGGTGAGATGCATCCTTGAGGAGCAATGGACAGGGGTCCAGGGAGCCCAGAGACCCTGGCAAAGCCCTGGGGACCCTTCCCCATTTAGTACTGGGGATCAACTGGGTGAGACACATCCTTGAGGAGCAATGGACAGAGAGGTCCAGGGAGCCCAGAGACCCTGGCAAAGCCCTGGGGACCCTTCCCCATTTAGTACCGGGGATCAACTGGGTGAGATGTATCCTTGAGGAGCAATGGACAGAAGTCCAGGAGACCAGAGACCCTGGCAAAGCCCTGGGGACCCCTCCCCATTTAGTACTGGGGACTGTGAGGGTTGGACTGGGGACCAGCTGGATGAGACACATCCCCGAGGAGCAATGGACAGAGGTCCAGGGAGCCCAGAGACCCTGGCAAAGCCCTGGGGACCCTTCCCCATTTAGTACTGGGGATTGTGAGGGTTGGACTGGGGACCAGCTGGATGAGACACATCCCCAAGGAGCAAAGGACAGAGTGGCCCAGGGAGCCCAGAGAGCCTGGCAAAGCCCTGGGGACCCTTCCCCATTTAGTACTGGGGATCAACTGGGTGAGATGCATCCTTGAGGAGCAATGGACAGAGAGGTCCAGGAGCCCAGAATGCTTGGCAAAGCCCTGGGGACCCTTTCCCATTTAGTACTGGGGATCAACTGGGTGAGATGCATCCTTGAGGAGCAATGGACAGGGGTCCAGGGAGCCCAGAGACCCTGGCAAAGCCCTGGGGACCCTTCCCCATTTAGTACTGGGGATCAACTGGGTGAGACACATCCTTGAGGAGCAATGGACAGAGAGGTCCAGGGAGCCCAGAGACCCTGGCAAAGCCCTGGGGACCCTTCCCCATTTAGTACCGGGGATCAACTGGGTGAGATGTATCCTTGAGGAGCAATGGACAGAAGTCCAGGAGACCAGAGACCCTGGCAAAGCCCTGGGGACCCCTCCCCATTTAGTACTGGGGACTGTGAGGGTTGGACTGGGGACCAGCTGGATGAGACACATCCCCAAGGAGCAATGGACAGAGGTCCAGGGAGCCCAGAGACCCTGGCAAAGCCCTGGGGACCCTTCCCCATTTAGTACTGGGGACTGTGAGGGTTGGACTGGGGATCAACTGGGTGAGATGCATCCTTGAGGAGCAATGGACAGAGAGGTCCAGGGAGCCCAGAGACCCTGGCAAAGCCCTGGGGACCCTTCCCCATTTAGTACTGGAGATCAACTGGGTGAGATGCATCCTTGAGGAGCAATGGACAGAGAGGTCCATGAAGCCCAGAGACCCAGGAAAAGCTGAGCAGAAGCAGCTTTTCACACACAGAGTTTCAGAGCTGAAGGTCCTGCCCTGTCTGCCAGTGTCCATGGTCCAGCACTTGCCACAAACCTGTGTGGAACCAAAGCCACATCCAGGGGATGGAGCAAGAAGCCCCCCTGGACCCTCTGCCTGACCCACGGCATGACCAGTGGGTCCCTGAACCCACTGGCCCCATCATGGAGAACAAGAGCCACAGCGCAGCGACTCCCAGGGGAAAGGGATAACACAACTCTTCCTGCTGGCAGCTCTTCCTGCTTGTCAGACCAGCAACGAACCTGTGTGGAACCAAAGCTACATCCAGGGGATGGAGCCAGAAGCCCCCCTGGACCCTCTGCCTGACCCACGGCACGACCAGTGGGTCCCTGAGCCCACCGGCCCCATCATGGAGAAGAAGAGCCACAGTGCAGTGACTTGCATGGGAAAGGGATAACACAACTCTTCCTGCTGGCAGCTCTTCCTGCTTGTCAGACCAGCAAGAATCATAGAATCATAGAGTCATAGAATTGCCCAGGCTGGAAGGGACCTCCAAAGGTCATCTAGTCCGACCTCCCCGCAGTCAGCAGGGACACCCCCAACTAGACCAGGTTGCCCAGGGCCTCGTCGAGCCTCTCCTTGAATATCTCCAGGGAAGGGGCCTCAACCACCTCCCTGGGCAACCTGTTCCAGTGCTCCACCACCCTCCCAGTGAAGAACCCTCTCCTCATCTCCAGTCTAAATCTGTTCCCCTCCAGCTTGAAGCCATTGCCCCTCGTCCTGTCACTGCAGGCCTTTCTAAACAGGCTCTCCCCAGCCTTCCTGTAGGCCCCTTCAGGTACTGGAACGCCGCTATTAGGTCTCCCCGGAGCCTCCTCTTCTCCAGGCTGAACAACCCCAGCTCCCTCAGCCTGTCCTCGGAGCAGAGGTGCTCCATCCCCCTCATCATCCTTGTGGCCCTCCTCTGGACCCGCTCCATCAGGTCCATGTCCTTCTTCTATTGAGGGCTCCAGACCTGCACACAATACTCCAGGTGAGGTCTCACCAGAGCAGAGTCAAGTGGCAGAATCCCCTCTCTGGACCTGCTGGCAACGCAGCTTTTGATGCAGCCCAGGATGGGATTGACCTTCTGGGCTGCAAGTGCCCACTGCCTGCTCATGTCCAGCTTCTCCTCCACCAGCACCCCCAAGTCCCTTTCCTCAGGGCTGCTTTCCAATCCCTCACCCCCCAGTTTGTATTGGTGGTGAGGATTGTTCTGGCCCAGGTGCAGAACCTTGCACTTGTTCTTGTTGAACCTCATGAGGTTCACCTGGGCCCACCTCTCCAGCCTGTCCAGGTCCTTTTGGATGACATCCCATCCCTCAGGTGTATCGACACCACCACACAGCTTGGTATCGTCCGCAAGCTCCTGGTTCTCCAGCACAGAGAAGCCAATTTTCGGGTCAGAAACAGGCAACCTGAGGCAAGAAGAGGCCAACCAGCACACCCCACCCGCAGGGACACCGACGGGGCGCTTTTCAAATGTCAGCTCTGAGTGAAAACCAGAATTTTGGGAATCAACAGATTCCTCCCCACTTGGTTTTGCTAAACCAGGAATTTTCGGCGACCATGTTGTTCCACCTGGTTGGTGAGATGAACTCCATGAGCACCCTGTGATGGCCATTCCCCAAGGGAGTGACAGCCGAAGCCCTCCACCGCCAGCCGAGAGCCCCCTCCCCGGCGCCCAGAGCCCCACAGAGAGAAGGAAGGGAAAGTTTTCTGTACCTCGGGACTTACTGTGTGTTTCTTCGTCATTCTCCAGAGGATGCAGGTCAGGAGCATGTGGCCCAGGGCCGACGTGATGAAGACGATGAAGGCATTTTCGTGGATTGCTGAATCAACAAGACAAGGGGGTTCCCGTTAAATCGGAGCCGAGAGGAGAAGGGGGATGCAAAAGGACAGGGTTTGGGAGGGTGAGGGACTGCTTTCTGCAGGATGTGGCTCTGCCAGGAGTCCCAGCACCCAGGAGATGCTGTGTCACATAGGGTTGGCAGGGACCTCTGGAGATCATCTCGTCCAACCCCCTGCCAGAGCAGGGCCACCCAGAGCAGGTCCCACAGGAACATGTCCAGGGGGCTTTTGAATGTCTCCAGAGAAGGAGGCTCCACCACCTCCCTGGGCAGCCTCTGCCAGGGCTCTGCCACCCTCACAGGAAAGAAGTTCCTCCTCATGTTGAGGTGGAACTTCTCATGTTCAAGTCTGTGCCCATTTCCTCTTGTCCTGTCACTGGGCACCACTGAAAAAAGACCAGCCCCATCCTCCTGACACCCACCCTTGAAGGATTTAGAGGTGTTGATCAGATCCCCCCTCAGCCTTCTCTTCTCCAGACTAAAAAGCCCCAAGTCCCTCAGCCTTTCCTCCTAAGGGAGATGCTCCAGGTGTCCCTGAGACCAGGGTCTTTGCAGGAGGGTGTTTATGTGCTCCAGCCCCTGGTCCAAGAACTCTCCATGACTCCACACAACTGTAAAACCTCAGGCACCCTCCAGAGCAGCTCAGCGTCATCCCGCGTGTTCTAGGGATGGGGAAACTGAGGCACAGAGGGCAGTTTGCACCTTGAGCCACTCCAAGATCCACACAGGGCCATCTCAGAATCATAGAATGGTTTGGGTTGGAAGGGACCTCAAAGATCATCGAGTTCCAACCCCCCTGCCCTGGGCAGGGACACCTCCCACCAGAGCAGGTTGCTCCAAGCCCCCTCCAACCTGGCCTTGAACCCCTCCAGGGATGGAGCATCCACAGCTTCTCTGGGCAACCTGTTCCAGTGTCTCACCACCCTCACAGGAATTAATTTCTTTCTGGCATCCACTCTAAATCTCCCCTCTTCCAATTTAAAACCGTTACCCCTTGTCCTGTCACTGCACTCCCTGACAAAGAGTCCCTCCCCTTGTCAGGAAGTTTAGTTTAGGAAGTGTAGTTCCTTGTCAGGAATCTTCTGGCCTCCTGCACTATTTACCTGCCAATTAACAGCTCTCATCAGCCCCGAGGCCATCTCTCCTGTGCCACTGAACGAGCACAGATTTAGGGTCAGGCTGGAAACGCAGCGAGAGGAAAATTAAACCAGAGCAGCTCACGAAGCCCCGACGCCCCACACTAACAGGTAATTAGTGACAGAACGAGAGGGAACGGCTTCAAGCTCCAACAGGGCAGGTTTAGATTGAACATTAGGAAGGAATTTTTCACCCAAAGAGTGGTCGGGCATTGGAACAGGCTGCCCAGGGAGGGGGTGGAGTCCCCATCCCTGGCTGTGTTTAAGGGCCGTTTAGATGCAGTGCTGAGGGACATGGTGTAGGGGAGGACTTTGTAGAGTAGGGGAGATGGTTGGACTCGATGATCCCAAGGGTCTCTTCCAACCTCAATGATTCTATGATTTTCACATGAGGGCTTGTTTCTCCAGGTTGGGAATTCAGCCCGTGGCTCTGGTCCTGGAGAAAAGGCCAGGAAACGAGCTTCATCTACCTGGACTTCTGCAAAGCATTTGACACTGTCCCACACGACATCCTGGTCTCAAAATTGGAAACCCATGGATTCCATGGATGGACCACTTGGTGGATAAGGAGCTGGCTGGATGGCTGCACCCAAAGGGTTGTGGTCAACGGCTCAATGTCCAGGTGGTGGCCAGTAAGGAGTGGTGTTCCTCAGGGGTCCATACTGGGACCAGTACTATTGAACATCTTTGTTGGAGACATGGACAGTGGGATAGAGTGCACCCTCAGCAAGTTTGCTGATGACACCAAGCTCGGTGGCGCAGTTGACACACTGGAGGGAAGGGGTGCCATCCAGAGGGACCTGGACAGGCTGGAGAGGTGAGCTCGTGCAAATGGCATGAGGTTCAACCAAGCCAAGTGCAGGGTCCTGCACCTGGGACGTGGCAACCCTAGGCACAAATCCAGGTTGGGTGGAGAATGGCTGGAGAGCAGCCCTGAGGAGAAGGACTTGGGGGTGTT